TATATAATGTTCTGATTGGCTCATTCATGAAGTATTCTGTTCCAGCTGCTTGAGGACAAGATCATCACTTTTGTGAAGACTGAGCTGAAGAAGATGCAAAAGGTTGTGAGTCCAAATTACCCAGAATGCTTAGAGAGTCAAAGGAGCAGCAGCAGAGAGGCATTTGTGAAGATCACATCGGACTTCCTGAGGGAAATGAAGCAGGAGGACCTGGCTGACCGTCTGCAGAGCAGTAAGAGAATTTCTCTAAAGATTTAAGGTTGCTGGTGAAAAGATTTCTATAAAGCAGTGAACTTCAACTGGCGGCACACAGGTCACATCCCTCATAGCTTTCCATCCTTCCCCTACAATTTTAGTGAATTCATATGTAGCCTAGTGAGGAGGAAAATGTATCTCTCATTTAAAGATTCTTTGAGTGTTTCACTTGCTCGGTTTATCTATAATCAGTTTTCACAGATGTCCTTGCTTGCACATCACGACAAAACGTGTGATATTTGTTACTGTCCACTGTGTCCATTTCACACTTTGGAGAGTCAATTTGTGAATTCGACATGGTGGACGAAGTTGCATATTGAGGTTTCAGATAAAAAGATTTTCTCTTTCAGACCTGAACCTGTTTTACCTCAATGTCTCCAGTACAAGTGGAAGAGGCAGGCTATGATGCCAGGTCTATTATTTAAATGCAGACGTGTGGTATCCATAGAAATGTCAGAATCACAGGTGAAACCTGACAAAATTTCAATGAGCAGTAGAAAAGCTAAAACAAACCATTAGAGAGCAGGCAAACAAATTAGGTCAAAAGATGCTGTCTCAAGAGATAAAACAGCATGTATTCACATTGTTTTAATCAATATAATTTTAATTTGCACATATTAACTTGATTTATATTTTTGGTTTTCCATTCGTTAGGAACTTTCAGTAAAGTTTGTAAAAAGGAACTTAAATCTGCACTGAAGAAGAAGTTCCAGTGTGTTTTTGAGGGCATCGCTAAAGCAGGAAACCCAACCCTTCTGAATCAGATCTACACAGAGCTCTACATCACAGAGGGAGGGACTGCAGAGGTCAATGA